AGTTATTATGCTCCAAATATCTGGAACAAACTCCCGGAAACCAACTCTGACTACTTTTAAATCCAGACTGAAGACTTTTCTTTTTGCTGCTGCTTTTAATTGAACTATTCACATCTTAAACTGCACTGTAACTTTTATTATCTTTGCTTTTTAATGCCATTTTCTTAATGTCTTTCATTTTTGTAAAGCGCTTTGAATTGCCTTGTGTTGAAATGTGCTATATAAATAAACTTGCCTTGCCTTACATAATTCAGGAATTTGACTGTTATGACATTATCTTTAAGTGATATTAGGCTGTAAAAAACCTTCAATGCTATGCTGTACTTTATTTTACTGCAATTCAAAGACTATTAATGTGCATTTTCACACGTTTAATTAGTTTGACACAATCCACATATAGAACTTATACAGATGGCTTTCTGACCAGGCATCAGCTAAATGGTGGAAATGTTGCTTCAATTAAAAATAGTTTCAATTAAAGTAATTTTATCTTCCTTGATGAGAGAGCTGGAGGTAGGGAAGATACAATCTGCAAGATATTGCCAAGGCACGGCCAGAAAATTCAACCTCAGAAATGAAGCTAATTGAATTTGACAACGATAAGGTTGAATGTGGGGAGTGTTAAAGCTAGCGAGAAAAGGATGAAGAGGGAGTTGAGAAGAAAACGAGGCAGGAAGGCATCTAATTTAATTGGATAAAGAATAAAAGAAGATGGAGCATAAAACTATTTTTCTAAAGATACAGTACATGAAGGCTTAAGAACATCTTACCTTTGCATTTAGATGACCAAGTGACAGGTCATGACTGAATAAACAGTATAATCATGTTTTATGCACTTTTATTTCAGGAAAATGGATAAAAGTTCTGCTTTTCTGACAGGAAATACTCACCAGTGTGTTGCTTAAGGACACTTCAACAAGGCTGCCATCTTAAAGCCATCGTTTATTTTAGTATTGTAAGATCTTTATTCGCGATTTTACATAAATAAGAGTGGGATTTAAAGATGCAATCACCTGTGGGATGAGCAGAATCTTGATGAAAACGTGAACATATTCCAATACATTTGTATGTTTTCTACGTAACATTAAGCTGTAACAACGTACATGTACCGTCTATGGGACTAATAAAGGTATTCTGATTAAAAAAACAAAACAATGTTGCTATCCTGACAGCTAATAGCAACATGCTACGTTCTGTTGATGCAGCAATAAAGGCATACATGCTCTATCCCTAGGAAGTTTTTCCTTGTACGATGTGAGGGTCTAAGGTCAGAGGGTGTCGTTTTTCTCATACTGATATTCTGCACAAACTGTGCTGTTGTATTTACTGTATAGTGTCCTTACTGTAAGGTAATTATTATATGTACAGCACTTTGGCTCGACCAAAAATCGTTTTAAAAATGTGCTGTATAAATAAAACTTGATTGATTCCCGCAAAGTGCCATGCTTCATTGCTAGATTTCCTACCATAGCTTAATATTCCCAGTGGAGTTTGATAATTCTATGATATGAAAACAATATTGTGTTTCCCTAGTGAATGATTCTGAGGAATGACATGTTACAAATGAGTTTTTCAATGTGAGATGTGTTTATATATCAATATTAGAAGGAAGCTCATATTAACATTCTAAGCGTCCTACCAACCAGACCTAATATAGCCTCCCTGTTTTTGTGTTTTTATAGATGTATTCCCCTTTACTTGAGTCTTTTATCATAATAAATGAATAACAACAACCCTGGTTTCAACTTTGTGATGATGAATTTTTCAAATCACCCAATGGGTTTTTTGAAAAACGAATTTAAATTCAGAGGTTTGAAGATTTCCTTGAACCATTAAGCACCACTTAACCCTTCTCTGGAATTGTCAAATTATATACGGTTTTATTGGAGGCTATTCTATGATTTTGGGGGTCAAGTACGGCCAGAATTATATTTAAAACTCATACTGGAGTATTACAGCTGCAGGTGAAGGAGAAATGTACAAAAATGTGATTTAAAGCATCAGAATGTTGCACCGCCACCATTCAACAAATGAGGGAAACCATTCCCTTTCTCATCTACTATGTTTTGCCCTTCATTGTAGATTTCCCCGTCCTTGAGCAGTGGTCCGAGAGCGCCTCCCTTTCCGAAGCTTCCCTCTTCATGGATGGCTTCCTCTACATCTCCACCGGCGCTTCCAAGACGACGTTGGACCGACGTGGAAGAGATGGTGAGCGATTTGAAAAAAAAAAAAGTGCAACTGTTTATTTTCAAACCTCCGGCATGGCCAATCAATCCATCAATCCATTTGTAAGCAGTTTAAACTGCGTGTTTGTCAGAGGTCTACTCCAGTTAAGCGCTGAGCAATCAATCAGTGTCAGTCTGTCAGCTGTCAAACTGCCAATCGTTTAATCCGAACACTAAACAGTCCAGTCAAAACGATCAATGGATGTGTCTTTCACATTCGTTCCGCATCCGTCCTCTGGGAATACTTGTCGGACGGAAAGATGTTCTTAGACGACCCTGCAGTGAACACTCTACGGAAGTTCAAGGTAAATTAGGGTCAGGTTGAAAAATGTGGATGAAAATGAATAAAATAATTAAGTCTGTTCGAACCCACCTGAGAGAGAATAGCTCTCAAACTTCTCAATCTCTTCATTTTGTCTTCCAAGGCAGTTTAAAACTTTTAATCAGGCTCCATTTCACACCCAAACTCCTCAGCTGCTGCTGCTGCACCTCCTGCTCCGCTATGGTCCCACTTCTCCAACAGCTGGAGCGTTGCTAGGGCCCATGGGTAATTAGGAGAGGGAGCAGGCTTTGGATGCTCCCCTTGGGGATGGAGGTTATTGGGAAGGTGGAGGATGGGGGGGGGGAATGGAGGACAAATGTAGCGAATGAAGGTTTCCGGGTGGGGGTGGCAGATTGCAGCTAGCTGCCAGTGGATGAGCGTAATCGCCTACGTCCTGGGCAAGACATCCATCTCCATTTTCTATCCACCCCCACATGCTCCACTCTCATTGGTGGATGTACATGTTACTAATGAACAGGGCTGAGGTCTGGGAAATTGCCCCTTAGAGGAGATGGGGGGGAAATTCCTTCGAATATCTATTGAAATTCTCCTTATTTGGAGAGATGGAATTCATTTACATTACATTTGTTGAAGGATAATTCCAATGTACTGCAATTTGGCTCTTGATGTCATAGTTGTAGGACATTAATTCTGTTGGTTATGACAATATTGTACTCATAAATGCTGAGATCTAGGAATATGGTTGCCTCGCTCCAGTGATGTCTTATTGGCCAAATGATAAAACTGGTTACGAATAAGACTGTTTTAAACTGTCTACCCATTTAAATTGGCTTACCTTTTGAAAAGAGACACTCTTACACAAGTGAGTCCTCTATTTCTAAAGATTTCTGAACCAAAATGACAGTTGGGCAATTTATAATGATCAAATATACATTTGAAAGCAGATACAGACACGCTGGCCTTCAACTGACTACCCAAACACTTTTTTACCAGAATACATTTGCTAAATCTTAGAAAGACTTTGATATACATGTTGTATTATCGAATTCTGCAATTTAAAGTTGCAATAATAAAACAGTCGCTTAGGGGTTGCAAGCTCTAACCCCATTACTGACACGTATACATTTACTGTTATTTTACCTTTATTTTGTCTCCAAGATGTGGACATGTCAGGTTATTTTTCTAAATGCACCACCAGCTAAATACTAACTTCTTGTTTTCTGAAGGCTGTTGCTGCCTTATGTAGTGTTCACCTTTGGATGTCAGATCAGGACACAGACTTGCTTTGGTTTTGTAGAACTATAATGAATGCCTCAGGCGTCAGATACACACAGTTATTTTCTTTATTTTTTATCCTTCTGCCTCGACGCAAAATTCACTTGTGTGGTTATGTGTGGTCTGAAAATGAAAATAAATACTCTTTGCAAACGTGGTCAAACCAGCAATACAAGTCCAAGTCTGTATTGAGGGAATGTAGTATTTAGCAGTGGGTACAATAACATATACAGTAAAGTGAAATGATCTCATACAGCAATTTGCATGTATCTTAATTATTATTGAAGGATCTTTAGCCGTAGCTGATGTTAGCGTGGGTAAAAACAAACAGGCATTGAGGAAGGGACATCCTAAACATCCTAGCTTAACCACATAATGATCAACGTATCAGTTTTACGAACACAACAGGTAGCTTTACTTTGTTAAAGTCCTTTCATAGTGTAGCGCCAGACTAAGTAGTGTGTCGGCTGCATGGCAGGAGTTGCTATGGTGATAAATTGGCTTGTTAACTAGCCCCCTGCCAGAGCCTTTTGTACATTCTGTTCTGTGCTGAACGGCGGACAATAGAATCGTCATCAGGGCTTTTTTTGTGTGCGGAAAACAGCTTCCTGTGTCTGGAAATAACTTTGATGATAACAGTTAGAGCTAACTAAAACACAGTGGCGTTGCGAGCTGAAAAACCCAAACAACAAGCAAAAATAAGCCACCAAGGTTCTATGTAGCGTTGAGAGGGGGTGCAGAGTTGCGTAATTATTATCTTCATTATTACACTACAAGTTGTTATTGTATCTATATTTGATAACAAGCATTAGTCTTTTCCATGTTATGTTTAAAATATTAATTTTGTATAAAAATGAAAATAACATTGGTTGGACAGAGTGTGTTTTGCTGTTTGCCGACAACATGACAAGCCGCTGGAGATGGAATAACGCTACAGGTCGCCATTTTGTCCTGGTCCATTTTAGCCACTGTTATGCATTTTGTACCACTTACAGACACAGTGTATCCAAAGTGGTCTCCCTCCAGATAAGTGCTGGTAATATCTCATCCGATAAACACCCCGTTATGTCATCTATTATGAAAAGCCGTACGAAGTTTGGCTTTTGTGCTTTAATGGCGCTTTAAGTGCTGAAAGATTCAGAGCGGTTGGGTTTAAAACTCAATGCGTTCAAACTTCTTCAGTCACGAAGAAGCCTTGTCAGGACTTTGTGGGCACGGAGCGATGAGGTATTTTTGAATCTACTCCAAGATGCCTTTCGCTCCCAGGCTAATGGTTAGCCGGTCTATAGATACACCCCTGTTCTTAATAATTCATAGGTGGTGCTCAGGGCTTAATAAAAGCACTCTGCCACAGCACCTTAAACTTTTTGTCTGGAGACAACTCCAAGTGAGTTTCATGCCTCCAGTAATAGGAGCTAAATCGAGAGAACGACATTTATTAATTTGGCATACAATTTGGTAATGGCCTTGACTGAGGTGGCATGGGGGATCATTGTGCCAGTCCACCATAATGAAATAAAACACTGAGATGCCTCTGGGAATATAGATTAGTATTAGAGAAACAGTGTTGTGTTATTTGTGCCGGAATCAAGGTTGAACTGGTTTATTCTCCAGCGTGGCACCACTTTAATAGCTGTTTGCTGTTCGCTTGAGCTCCGCTCCATATTAGGTTTACGCAGTTGATTGTAGCGTAAATGAAGTCTCCCCCTTAACGGGTACGAAAGTGACTCATGCTACTTTCACATTAAAGAGTGTGTGTGTGTGTGTGTGTGTGTGTGTGTGTGTGTGTGTGTGTGTGTGTGTGTGTGTGTGTGTGTGTGTGTGTGTGTGTTGTGTGTGTGTGTGTGTTGTGGGTGTGCGTGGCTGTGTGTGTGGGTGTGTGTGTGTGTGTATGTGCGCTCGTGAGAGCCTTGGGAGGAAAAAAAGAGCCAGTCGGCAGTTACTGTCTGAAATGGTGAGTGGCAGCGGGGAAATGGCAGTCCTGATTTCTGATTAGTTTGGTCTTCTCCTCATCAGCTGCGCTCTGTTTTTTGCCTGCAACAGTAACTCACAACTGCCAGAGAGGGAACAGCGAGGGGGTGGTGTGGAGAGGAGAGAATTAAGTAGCAGCATGTTAACAGTTTTATTAAGGACACAAATCTGAGCCCATATGAACATTCAATTACTTGCATCTACAAAGCCGGAGTCCAGTTTTGGATAGGGAACCAAATATTAATTTAGCTAAAAATGTGCTGTTAAAGGATATTTAATTCTCAGAATTTTAAAGCAGTCACATTTATGTTATTTTGTTTTAGATTTTATGAGGAGCTCACAAAGCCTGTTTAAACAATTTGTCTTAATCCAATATGCTTTTGGAGTGCTCTTCTTAATGGGCCTCTGCTTGCCTAAATGAGCTAGTAATGCTGTTGCTCAGGCCAGAAATACATGGCAGATAGTGTTTTATTTTATTTTATCTAATGCCATATCTGTCCATTCCTCCCTGTAATGAAGTGGGCTGTAATCCTGGCACAGACATATCATTCAGATCCCTTCAGTTTCTCAATTTCCATTTTCCCCTGACAAGCTGTCAAGCAGATGTCTTCATCGCAGATATTTTAGTCTGATGACGAGATAGGCAGAAGATTGGCGGTAGGGGGATAGGTGGGAGAGCGAGCGAGCTAGGGAGGGAAGAGGGTGATTCTGCGGAAAGGGAGCTTTTTCGATGCATACTGAAAACAGGTATCTGTGCAATGTCAATAAAAAAGTTTACGGACACATTGGGTAAGTTTGTAGAAGTAAAGTTAATAATACACCTGGGAACACAATCAGACTCAAAACTTTTGAGTAAATATGTTATTCTGTAACTTGGGCCATTCAGTCAATGAACAATAAGACAGTTTAATTGCCACATTGATGACTTGATTAGTCTAATCAACCTGCTCATCTCGCATACGTGGAGCATTTAGCACATTTTTACAAATTGCCTTTGTCAGAGATGAGGGAAAAAAAGCAGAAAAAGGAGAAGAAGGTTCCACACTTCCACGGGAAAATGCAATGCAGGGAGCACTCTTGGCGTAGAAGCTAATTGGCCCAATTTAGCTGGTGGAGGCATATACCACGGTTGGCTTCCGCTAGCGTTGTCTCTGGCGGCTGGTTGCGGACTCCCGCGGAGAGCGGCTGGGCCGCGGGGCCATAGCTGTGTGTGTGGAACAGCTGGCAATGGACGCAGCTGCTTGATTGTAAATCAAGCACTATTGTTCCCCACATTGCACGGATGCTTGTGTAGAAGCTAGTGGTGTCCCACCCGCTAAGGAAATGCTGCACCACAAACAAAGAAGGATGCGTGCGCTTCGGTGATGTGCAGGTCTTTGATAAAGCCAGTTTCCTGTAGGAATATCCTGAAGGCATTCAAAGGCATTCAATGCTCTGTTAAGAAGTTACTTGTGCCACACATTCCAACAAAGCTGAATAATAGTTGCATTCAACTTAAAAGTAAAAAGTGAAACTCATTGCAGATATTCCACATTTACAAAGAAGTCGTGATGAAACTGACAGCGACCCCAGTGGTACAGGTTCTATCTTGTTCCTCCTTCCTGCCTGCATGGAGATATTCTTTAACCTTCAGGCCTCCATTGGAAATGTCTAAATCCTGTCAGCATAGCCTCTTCTGTATTCTACCAAATCCTTCATATGAAATCACAATCCGAACACACAAGAGATAACTGTATCTGAAATTACATTTGTCAAACATTTGTAGTCTCCCAACACCTTGTGGCCTCCCTTTAATCCCTCTCTTTTCACTGCCTTGTGTGTCCTCGGCCTTATGTGAGCATCTGTTCTTGTGGGTGTGCTGGCCATTATTAGGATAACTATTCAAAAAACTAGTTGTTGGAGTAGTGAGCTCATTCACGTGTCCACGTTTTCTGGACCCAGGGTCCCGTAGCAATTTGCTTTTCGGATTCACAATGGGATTTCTCTCCTTAGAGTTGAGGGAAAATTAAGAAAAGAAATGTGTGCAGATTTTGTCCGACTTAGTTCAAGGAGACATGATACGGATGCCACATGTGCCAACATTAAATTAGATCTATTAATATTTCTGATTCTTAGGACAATCGAGAAAAAGCCATGTCTTCTGTAAGCGCTTGTCACTGGATGTCTTCTGCTTGTAAGTAGTTGACTGAATATATTTATATTATTTATATTCGTCATTTAAGAAAGAAGTAAAGTCATTGAGTAATTCACAGGAAATGCAAAATATGAATACATTTAAATTAGGGCCGGGACTCGATTAAAAAAATTAATCTAATTAATTACAGGCTTTGTAATTAATTAATCGCAATTAATCGCATTTTTTATCACATCAATATTTGACCTGAGAACAGTGAGAAGCAATTTGTTTCACATGGATTTTAATATCCCATTGAATAATGACTGAATACATAAGCTTAAGCAACAAAACATTGTTTATTTTTTTCAAGGAGGTTCTTAACCAAGACCAACAGAAAAGTGCAATTTTTGCCATAAAGTGTAGCAATAGCATATTTAGGAATATAGTACATTTCAGAGATTCAGGTAGCCTATAGGTAGGTAGACCTTCTGTAAACTATAACACTTTGTTTTTTAAGTATAACACAATACTTTCAAGTACATTCAGAACATTGGAAACCCTGACTATTAGAAAACATCTCTCTGTTGCTTCAGAGGCCATAACAGACTTTGTTGATTTACCAACAGTTGATTTCAAAAATCTAATCAATTTCAGTCCAACTCTCTCAATAACCTTGGCCAAAACAATAAACAGTTCAACATAAAGTGCCAGTTGCACCAACAACGTAATAAATAGTTCAACATAAAGTGTACTGTACCATATAAAATAAAAAAGTGCCAGTGATTGACCTCAGTCCCTCCTATTCTTCCAATATCCTGATGAAAAATAAAATCTCTCTGTTGCATAGGCCACTGTTTGATCAACGCGAATTGGGTGTGGGTCCTTGTACTCCGAGTCGGGCTAGCTTCCATCGGCTAGCTTCCACGCTAGCTGCTATAGGTTTTGCATTGAGGTGATACTTGAGGCTTGATGTGCTGCGGTGATACGCAAATTCCTTTTTGCATAATTTGCAAACAACCGTGCTCTTATCGACGCTTCCATCCGTCCGTTTTTTAAAACAAAATGTCCCATCCACGGGGCCAACCAAAGCGGTCTCATCAGCTTGTTCGTTCATGTTTGACTATTGTTCACTGTGGTTTGTTGTTGTTTGAAGTCATGAACGTTAGTTGGTGCTCCAGTATAATCGGTACCCCTGAAACTCATCCAGTGAGAAACGTTCCGCGGTGCAAAAATAAGTGCGATTAAAATGCGTTAATTTTTGTGTAATTAATTAATCTTAATTAACGCGTTAAAGTCCCGGCCCTAATTTAAATGTTACCTTATGACCCAGGTTTCGAAACTACTGGTCTTGGGCAGAATCCCCTTTGTAAAGAAAAACCAAACTGTTTAATAAACCATCATATTGCAAATATTGGATTCTGACTCAATGGTGCTAGACTTAAAGGTCGGGCAATACGTACATTTCTAATTGCAAAGCAATATATATCAAACAAGTGTCAACACATTTAACTCAACACCACAAATGGGACATGCTAGACGAAAAGTCAGGGGTTAAAAAGGGGTTTTTCCTCTGGAGAACATGAACGTCAGAACAAATGGGCAATATGCCCACAAAAAGCTGTTTATTGTCCTTTACTACCCCTACATAATCTTGTGACCCTTCATATTTATTTTGTGGGTCCAGGTTAGGGCTCACTTACCCCTGGTTTGTACCTACCAGTAAATTAACCAATGCATAATCTCTACAGCCACAGGACCATTTTCAAACAACACTTCTAGAAAATCAATGTCATTACAGTCATCTAAAAGCCTATGAAAGCAATTGACTTCAGTTAGGAAATAGAGTCTGCCTCTTAAGAACACGATTGTGTGAGGGTTTCAGATTTTACAAATAAAATGACTCAGTAATCACCCCATTAGCAGAGGTACAGAGGGAACGATGGCAAGAATTACAGACAATTATTGTACGAAATGTTCTGGAGTAGCACACGTAGGAAAATGATGGACGTGGCATTTTCTACGAAACCTATGCAAACCAGGGACACATTTGCGAACAGAAGTGAAGCAATTCACATTATTTTCCATCACCAAGAAAAACCGTGGGTTCTGTCAGATAGATTGGGTTGATAATAATGTTAAATACCAGACTCTTTTTCTTTCTCTATCATCACGCTCAGACACACACATGCAAAACTGTTACACTCACAGGTGATTTCAGATAAAGACAATTCTTCAGCTGGTGGAATAATTGTTCTTCGACACGAAGTAAGGTCAGAACAACAGTATTTCTCTAAATGCCACAGTAAGCAACAAAATATTAGTTATTCAGTCAGTTTTAAAGCTGTTTGTGTCCAGATTGTTTATCCGAGACGGAACAAGACAGAGATAGTCAGAAAGAACCATACAGAGAGACAGTGCAGGGGTGAATAGAGCAAAACTGACATTCTCCTTTCCTATGCTTATCACATCCTTTTTTTTTTATTGGAACTATATCTGTTCCTTCAGAAACATCACACACATTTGGCAGAGAAATACACAATTAACATATTCATGAGATGAATACAGTTGAAACTTTGGAGTTGCAAGCGACAGGGGGTACAAGTGTGGTGTGTGTGTGTATGGGTGTGTGTGTTGTTTGCGGAACACAAAAGCAGATGGCACGTTGACTTTGAAAATCCAAAATTAGGTATGTTTTCATGAACTTCATGCTCATTGGCTATGTAAATTGCACAGTCAGACAGTCATGAAAGACAATGCTGTGTGTTTCCCAGCCTTTTCCACTGGGATCATGTCTGCTGATTGAAATCTGCTCGATATTTAGAGTGTCTTAACTCACGTACAGTATACAGCTTGACTAAGTTGTCCTCTAATTGAAAGCATATGGAAGAGACATAACTGAGTCTCCTCTCTTCAACAATGATATGTTTGTATTCTTCTCTCCATGTCCATACATCTTTTGTTGATTTGAAATGAAGGCCACAGTCTGCCAGTTATGTTTTGACTTATTTTCGAACTACTATTTAGAGCTGCTTGGTTTGGTTTTGGGATATTTGTGTTTTAGAGTTAATCTCACTCTTTAGAAGGAAAAAAAGTGGAGGCCTTTGACAGTGTGACATCACAATACATTCATCCATGTGTGAAAGCCGAATGCATAGTGTCTTATCTCTAAACGTTGAAACAGTTTTGCAGTAGTGCCGTTCTGTCTTATTAAGAGTCATTAGCTGTGTTTAATAGGGTGCTTATTGTTCACCAACCAATCATTTGCATTGCAGGCTATAATTAATATCTTTTTCTGACTACAAACAATAGGCAATTTGCAAAATGTATCAGCATGCAAATGGATGGCTCTACATTAGTAATCCAACAGAACGCATCATCAATATGCATCATATCAGTGATCCAATATTACATACAGTATCTGTTCCAACTATCTCTGATTTCTATGTAATCTGGCACCTTTTATTTTGAAGTCCAAACAGTGTTGACGATATATGAAGTCCATTGAAGAAACGTATTGCCCAGAATTTTAATGGAGAAAGCTCCGTTGTCCTTCTTGCAGAACTATGCAAACATAACCTACTGTACATATACCAGGATGCATTGCACGTGAACTATTTACATCTAGCAAACATATAGTGATGCTAAAAGGATTTGTACTCCACACCGGCAGAAGCTAAGATAGCAACAACCCTTTCCTATTTCCCACATTGACAGCGTATCACCACCTTATTTCTTACTTTTTGACCTTTCAAAAGCCCATCTTAGATTATCTCTGGAAGGTCTCCAGCATACCTCTAAGTGAGCAGTTAAATGTTCAAGCAATAATGCCCAAGCTCTCTTACATGTATCTGAAAGTTTTTCTCATTACATGTTTGTGTGTATTTTTAGACATGGCGCGTCGTTGGTGTACATTGGAAGGCGGTTTCTTGAGTTACTACGAGAGCGAGCGAAACCCGTCGGCCATCGGCAGGGTGGACGTGTCGGAGGTGGTGAGCCTGGCTATCAGCAACACAGAGACGATGACTGGAGCCGGGTAAGAACACACACTATGTACATACAGTACCACTGCTGTCGAATAAAAACGTTGTACCTCTAAAATCTTCTGGAAACCTTTAAGCAAGATAAATTGTTCTATTTTCATACACATATTTGTTTGTTTAAATGATTCAATGGTTGGATTTAGACTTATTGTAACATAACATGTAATATTGATCTAAATCCTGTGCATTAATTGGTGATTTACATAACATTCAAAGATTACATAAGTCCACACACAAACACATACCAGTACAGTCAAATCCATTTTATTTGCCACTATATCATAATTTAATAATTCATTGTTCTACCTGCTTTAAGCACACACGCCACCCATACAAAAATACATTTTGAAATGATTTATTTTCTTTTATTTGCTTGTATTACATTTGCTGCACTTGTATTTGATATATTAACATAAACACCAAGCCATGTAAACACATACTGCCGCATACACACTTCCTCTCCCTCGTCATATACCTCATTAGCATAATCTTACATTTGAGCATTATTCAATTTAACAGAACCTATCAAGGCTTTATGACGGCTATATTTCCTGTTTACTTTGGCGGGGATGCGGGCGAACGGCGGCGCTTTAACTGCCCTCCCTCCGTTCACTTTGTACCGTTACACCTCCCCCATCGCTTCTCTCTTATGATTCAGTTAGAAAAGTTGCTCTGACAACCAACTTTTCTTTTATTTCATCTGGAAACACACTGAGAAAAAACAGATGTCTCCATCCTCTCTTCTCACATTGTCCCCGCTCCCATTGGGTCACGCTGTGTGTGTGTGTGTGTGTGTGTGTGTGTGTGTGTGTGTGTGTGTGTGTGTGTGTGTGTGTGTGTGTGTGTGTGTGTGTGTGTGTGTGTGTGTGTGTGTGTGCGTGCGTGCGTGCGTGCGTGCGTGCGTCTGATTTAAAGCACAAGCCAGGCCCTTAATGACGGCAGCAGATGCTATGAAAAGAAAACAATGCTTTTATTTGTATTAATGTTATTTACACAGCTATTAGAAACACATCTGGCCAGCTAAAACTATGACCTTTAATAAGCTGGTCTTATCATCACCGCCATAATAGGTTACTATAATAATGCTGTGTGCTTTAAAGTAGGGGGAGCCTCCGGGCCGTACACGGACTGCGAGACCATTTGGTACGGCCCTCGAGGTAATTTATAAACACACGCAAAAAAGAAAAAAATTAAAGAAATCTAGAACGCAAAATAATTTAACAAGCGAGTGCCTGTTTTTCCTGGCCAAGGTCAGGGTCCTTGAACACAACACGAGCCTAACGTGTCGTCACGTGGTATATGTCTCGTCTGAAAGCAGGGTTGCGTTCCAATAGTCCATTTAGCTTAGGAACCTTCCTAACCAAGTGAAATGACCCGGAAGTACGTCAGTGGCAGCCATGATAAGTGCCGTTCCAATTCTCCAAATGAAAGGAAAGGAGGTTTCAAACTTCCTTTATAACCTCCTTTAGCTTAGGAACAACTGGACCTCCCTAACCGAAAGGAGAGGAGAAAATGCTGCCCNGTGTAAATATGACGTCACGTTCTCGTTGTAACTCTCGTTGTAATCGGAGCGGCTCGGAAACACATCTACAGCAGTAACATGATGCAACATACACATTAATTCAGCAGCAATATTAATAGAGAAACATCAGACTTAATAGTAAAACACTGAAAGGAAACATTTTATTGCACCAGGAGCTACCTTGGGACTTTTACTGCGACAACGTTGACTTGCCTGTGAATAAAAAATAAACCATAGTGTTGGTGATCTACAGTGTTGTCATTCTTCTTTGAACACCAGCAAGACTGCTAACACCCTATTTCAACAATCACACTCCCTGTAATTAATAGTTAGTTTAGCTTCTCATCATCATTTGCTGTGGCCAACTGATGTTAACGATCGTAACTGAAAGGCTGCCTGCCAAAAGTAAACATTCAGCAACGTGACTTGCAAACTCTCGCGAGAGTTTTACACAAGACGGATCCTTTCTAGCCTTAACCCGTCTGACAGGGTGTAGTGCTGACGGAGAGCACCAGAACGCCGCTCCGGCACTTCAGATAAGGAGCCATACACATGCCACAGTTTTTGCGTGGCTGTGTCTTTACTCTTTAGTTGTGAGCCCAGTGGTGTACTGCTCATCTGTCACACTGATCATACAGTCAATAACTTTGTTGTTATTAGCATCTGGTTAGCTAGCTATGCTAACGAATATAAGAAGCTTTTTCTACAACCAGTGAGGTAAAGGCACATCTTTATATGATCATTATAGTTATAACAAAATAAGAG